ACCGTAGTGTGGCTATGGGAACCGCCATCTTTGTGATGGAGTGATGGTTAATTTGCATATCATTAGATAGGATTTTTTAGCCAGTCATCCTTTAGTGGACACTTGGGTTGCTTCCACCCTTTAGCTGTTGTGAATAATGCTGCTGTGAACATGGAGTACAGATGTCTGTTAGAGTCCCTGCTTTTACTTCTTTTGGCCCTGTACCCAGCAGTTAAATTGCTAGATCATTCATATGGTAATTCTGTCTTTAATTTCTTGGGACATTGCCATGTAGTTTTCTATAGTGGCTACACCATTAACACTAACTTGGGGTTTTTTTTTTTTGGATATAACGTTAAACTTAGAGAAAAGTTCTAAGACACACAGTAATTCCTATATAGCCTTAACCAGATTCACCAATTGCTTACATTTTTGCCCCATTTGTGTTATCATTTTCTCTTTCTCCAGTAGCACACACACACAAATGCACACTCGCACATATGCACACACGTATATTGTGGTTGCATGTTATTTTGAACCATTTGAAAAGAGTTGAAAACCTGTGTTCCTTTACCACTAAGTATTTCAGTGTATTTCCTGAGAAACAAGTACGTTGTGTCATATAACCACAGTATAATGATTAAAATCAGGAAATATTTCATTGATTCAATGTTCATGCTATGTTTTAAGTCAGAAAATAAATTAAAACATAACTGGGATAGATTATGATTTGAGGCCATCTGTCAGTGTGCATGCAATACTAAAATAGGCATTAATGTGTGTTTATATGTTTTTAGGGAGAAGCTTGTTAGAGCTTGGAGGAAATAACGCCATTATCGGTAAGGCTGCTCCCTGTTTTTGTTTGTTTTCCATTAAGAATATCTTCAATAGCTGTCCTGAGTATATAGCTCTTGTAGGAACTCGTCTGGTCTGTTTTTGTACGTGCCTAAGGCCTGACTCACATCTTCAGGAACTTTACTTATGAGACAGGACACATGGTTTGAAGGCAGAGATAATGAGGAAGGAAGGGTGTTCGTGTTTGGAAAATGTAACCTGGGCTTAGAACGTGTGTGCAAGACTTCCTAATGTGGCATTGTTCCTTGTTTTTCCTCCTCCCATCTTCTGAAAACTGGCCACGTGTGTCTCTAGAAAAAGTAACTCTTATGTGACTTTCATTAAGATTTCAAAAACATTAGTTTGTCTTTTGTGGAATATTTGGTGCTTTTATAACAGAAGGAACGCTCCGCTCCCTTAAGGCATTTTAATCACTCACCTGTAGACTTGGTCATTGCGTAAGTCTGTTTCTCAATTACTTGGCACAAAAGGAAATAATCTACTAGTGTAACTGGATAATATAATGACCATCAGTAGGTTGAGACAATAGAAGCGTGGGTTTTGTGATAAAAAGCACACTTGCTAATTTGTACATTGCCATCACCATCGTGTTTAAATGGTTGCACATTTGTGGTGTATGCCAGAAATTTTAAAAGTAGATGGCAAAGGGTTTATTCAAGATGAACTTCTAATGTAGTTTTAAAAAGTGAGTTCATTTAAAAATGTAGTTAGCACTCAGTGGACACTGGGTGCTCAGCTGGTTTCCTATGCGTTGTTCATTTAATCCCCAGAATAACCCCAGGAGGCAGATACCATTATTTATCTCATTGGAAGGTTACACTCTGAGGCTTAAAGTGAGCATGGTATGTGCCCAAGTGACGGGCCAGGAGGTGGTGGAACCAGCATTGATATCCTGGCAGCCAGACCCCACAAAACTGCTCTTTCCTCACCTCCTTGCTATCACCCATTAGTACCCCAGACATTATCCCATTTTATGGCTGAGGAAATTGAGGCTTAAAAAGGTAAAATAACACAACTAAAAAGTGGTGGAAACGGACAAGAACCCGTGGTCTGCTTGGTTGCACAAACCCCCTTCTTACCCATCATGCTAGTCTGGGAATGCTGTTAGTTTGGAAAAGGGACAATGGAAGATGTAGAGGGAATCATGTCTGTAAGTTTCTCTAAGGGGTAAGAAGGAAGGAATTACGAGTCATATAAAGGGAAGGGTTAACTTTGTAAAGACTGGGCTAGTTTTTCTCCTGAGGGTGAGGAAGGAATGCGCAGAAGCAGAGGAATTGGAATGACGGCATCGGTCCTTCAGAGGAGCAGAGGACGCTGGGAAGGGTCCCCTGCGTGTGGTCACTAAGTGGGGTGAGGTAATCCAGAGAAGGAGTGAAGAGCGTGAGGGGTTTCAGAAATTTGGACACACTTCTGTAGGAGCAACACGAGTATTTCAGGGCCTGGACTGTGCAGGGTGGGGTAGATGCTAGCGAGCCAGTCTGCAGGGTGATGGTCCAAAGCTTCCCCCGCTCTCCACGGGCCCAGGGAAGATGGCATCAAGGTGGGCCTCGGGGTTGAGACTGGAGAGAAGGAAAGCTGACAAAAAGGATGGTGGTCTTAGAGAAGAGACCTCAAGGAGGCTGCAGAGCAGGCTTAGTATCAGGAACTGGGAGGCACGAAAGGTGAAGAAGTCAGAAGAGCGAGAGCCTCCATGCACATCTGTCCTGGGATAAAGGCCTTGGGGCCATCTCTCAATTCTCATGTAATCTTTTTAGCAAGTACCTTGTCTGCCTACTTCACAACACTGATGGGTGTGTGTTTGTGCTTCTCTAAGCTTTTGAGGATGCGGACCTCAGCTTAGTGGTTCCATCAGCTCTCTTTGCCGCCGTGGGGACAGCCGGCCAGAGGTGCACCACTGCGAGGCGCCTGGTGAGTGTGTGTGTATAGGCATGTGAGGTTGTCCTGCTCTTCACATTGTACAGGTAGGGAGGTGTCGTAGAAGTACTTCCTACCCATCATGCTAGGTGGCGAATAATGTGGCCCTGTTCTCTTCTCAGCCAGGGACTGTCTTACCCTCCAGCCTAGGATAAAAGCAGTTTCTCTCTAACTGGTTGGACTTAGACTGGGAGGTGAAACTGTTTTCAGTCCTTCACCCAGCACAATATGTACAAAGTCCAAAGCCACTTAGAGACTAAAGCAAGCTTTAATATTTGACAAGTTCTAAAATTGTTAGCAAAAAGATAGACAGCCTTGGCTTTTACTTATAAAAGCATTTTAGAGATTTTAATTTTTGTCTTATAAGTCAAGTCTTAGATTTGACTTGATATGACATGGTTTATTGAAAAGTAAATGACTATGTGCTTTCTATAAATAAATAAATACATACATAAATAAGACATTAATATTCTATATAATAAAAGGCTAATATGCAAATTGCCCCCTCAACTGGGAGTTTGACCAGGAGTTCGACCAGGGGGCGGGGCCAGCCGGCCAACCACCTGCAGCCCCTCCTCCTGGCTGGCCCTGCCCCCAACCGTCCCCCCACACCCCCTACCCTCGATCAGGGGCCAGGCAGGTTGGCCAACAATCGGGGGAGGCCTGCCGGACCCCAGCCATGCACAAATTCATGCACTGGGCCTCTAGTGTGCATATAAGGAGATGATGTTTAGCTTCAGCATGAATAGGGTTAATGTTAATCTCCACACTCAGATTTGGGCTGGGTTTCAAGTTTTGTGTCAGATATATCCTTGATTTTCATGACTCTCTTGGTAATGAAAAAACTGTGTACAACTAGACAAGTTTGGTTAGGTTCAAAATTTGGCTACATTTGTCATTTTTAAGTCATTAGTGCTAAGTTTTCCTCCTGTAATTAAAAAAACAGTTTACAGTTGAATTACAGAGGAATTGATTTTGGGTTTTTACTCTCACCCACAGTGAGTCTGAGCAGATTCTTCATAAGGTTGATATAGTCTAAATTAACAAAAATAAAAGATATATGAAAATTAAGTCTTTACTTTTCCCAAAACATTATTTATTCATTTTTCCTGTATTTTACAACAAAAGAACACCTTTTCTTGTTTTTACATTACTCAGTTGAAATTCTCAAAAAAGATCTACGACACAATATTCATAAAGCATTTACAGTTTATTAAACTTAAACATTTATTCCATTAATGCTGAGAAGAAAATGAGTTCTTTTTTTAAAATATATTTTATTGATTTTTTACAGAGAAGAAGGGAGAGGGAATAGAGAGTTAGAAACATCGCTGAGAGAGAAACATCGATCAGCTGCCTCCTGCACACCCCCCACTGGGGATGTGCCCACAACCAAGGTACATGCCCTTGACCGGAATCGAACCTGGGATCCTTGAGTCCGCAGGCCAACACTTTATCCACTTAGCCAAACCAGTTAGGGCAGAAGAAAATGAGTTCTTTAAAAATGGTTAGCCTATACAATAAAACCCTAATATGCAAATGGACTGAACAGTGGAATGACTGGTTGCTATGATGCACACTGACCACTAGGGGGAAGATGCTCAATGCAGGCAATGCTCCCTCGTGGTCAGTGTGCTCCCACAGGGCTCATGGCTGGTGAGTGCAGTGGTGGTGGTGGGAGCCTCTTTCACCTTTGCTGCAGACGGGCAGTAAGAGGGGTCCTGGACTGCAAGAAGGATGTCCGCCTGCCGGCTTAGGCCCGATCCCCGGGAGATCGGGCCTAAGTTGGCAGGCGGACATCCCCCGAGGGGTGTGCCATAAATATCTGTCCACATATATCCCCTAAATAGTGCTATCTTGTATCAGGTTATGGAGTGAGAGAATTAATGATATAAAAGAAGATTCCATCTCTGTCTTCATATTGCTTAAAACAGTTGTAAACAGAGGCAACCGGGCTTCTAGTAATCTTAATAATATGACAAACTATGAAATGCCATAAAAGGAGCATTTCTCTATTCAGCCAATTTTTTCTTTTCCTTGTTTTTCTTAGAGCAAATATATATATCCATGCCCTATATATACACACACACACACACACACACACATTTTTATTGATTTCAGAGAGGAAAGGAGAGGGAGAGAGAAACATCAATGATGAGAGAGAATCACTGATTGGCTGCCTCCTGCATGCCTTCTACTGGGATCAAGCCCGCAACGCAGGCATGTGCCCTGACCAGAATTGACGCGTGAACTCCTGGTTCATAGGTCAGTGCTCAACCACTGAATCACACCAGCCAGGGCATGCTTTATATTTAGTGTTAAAAAGTTAGAAGCTATTATTAGTCATTGCCCAAATCGATTTCCATAGAACATTTAAGTGATATGTAGAAAAATCTATCGCAGTACTACAGACTAAAGTACTACTCATAATGTCAATGTGTTTGCCATATGGAGACCAACTCAGAGAATGGATGGCTAGACGAGTTCACCTCCACCACTGGGAGCATAGCATGGAGCTCATGGTCCCACCCAGAGTGAGTCCAAGGCATGTCCTCACCTGAGTAAGGCCTCACTCTGGAGATCTTGGCCTGAGGCTGAGAGCACCTGGTTACACGGCAGCAGAGGTCAGGTGACAGATCACTGTGGTGTGTGTTTTCCATGACTCATGCAGGCATAGTGGGGGGATAGGTATACTTAGGTTTTCTGCTGCTTAAGTTATCCAGTCCTCTAGAATAGAAACAGGCATAATTGATTGTAAAGCTTAGTCAAATGGATCCCTAGAGATATGGTCAAGACTTGTCTCATGGTTTTGTTCTAACAGCCACCTAGAGGAAAGTATTATCTTCATGTAGTAAACAATTAAAATTAGAAATTATACAATTACAAAAATAAACATACTTGTACTTGCATATGTTTTAGAGATCACAATTTTTCAAAATTTATTATGAACTATAAATTAGCACTATTGAGAAAAACTGTACATTGTTAACAAATTTGTACATTTATTTGACGATTCCCTTGCGTATTTCTTTTTCCACTTAGTTTTTGCATGAGAGCATCCATGATGAAGTTGTAAATAGACTTAAAAAGGCCTATGCACAGGTCCGGGTCGGGAACCCATGGGACTGTGAGTACCTGGTTGACAAGTGTTTCTGAACTCCCTTTCCTGAGAGGACTGAGGGCATACAGAGCAGGTGATAGGGGTTGAGGGTGACACGTCTGCTCCTAGGTCCGGATCTAGAGTGCTTGGTGTGGGCTCGGGGGTTCCCCGGGGCGTAGTGTGCAGCTGGGATGGGTGTGATGAGCTCTTCTCTCTTCACTCCTGTTCCCCTCGTCTAAGCCACCACCGTCCTCTCTCATGGAAGGCTGCAGGAGTCAGCAGACACACTTCCTGCTTTTACCTCTGCCTTCCACAGTGACCAGAGTGATTTTCTTAAATGTACTTAGATGATTCACTCTTATTTTAAATATTCCAGTGACTTTTCTTTGCTCTTTGACTAAAATCTAGATTTTTTTCCTGCTCTTTCTTTAGCAGATTCACCATCTGTGTGATCTGACCTACGCTGCCTCCCCCTTTACCTCCTGACCTCTACCCCTGCCCTCCTACCTCCTGACGTCTGTTCCCGGGCTCCTACCTCCTGACCTCTGCCCCCGGGCTCCTACCTCCTGACCTGTGCCCTGGGCTCCTACCTCCTGACCGCTGTCCCCGGGCTCCTACCTCCTGACCTCTGTCCCCGGGCTCCTACCTCCTGACCTCTGTCCCCGGGTCCTACATCCTGACCTCTGTCCCCGGGTCCTACCTCCTGACCTCTGTCCCCGGGTCCTACCTCCTGACCTCTGTCCCCGGGTCCTACCTCCTGACCTCTGCCCCTGGGCTTCCTGAGCTCCAGTGTTCCAGCCTCCTCTCAGTGCTGGGGTCCCAGGCTGTCCTGCTGTTCTCTCTGCTGGGAAAGCTCTTCACCCAGATCTTCCCGCAGCTAGCTTCCTGCTTCAAGGCCACCTCCTCCTGAGCCTACCTGCCTTCCTTCCTCCTCTTTCCTGGCTCACCTGTAACGCTCTGCTTTCTGGCAGCCGCCCATGGGTGGCATAGGCTCTCCCCTGTAAATTGCACACCAATTGCTGAGCCTGTGAAGGTCCTAGGCAGCGGTTCTCAACCTGTGGGTCACGACCATTGGAAAACACATACAGCCTATCAGATACTTACATTACGATTCATAACAGTAGCAAAATTACAGTTACGAAGCAGCAACGAAAATAATTTTATGGTTGGGGGTCACCACAACATGAGGAACTGTATTAAAGGGTCGCGGCATTAGGAAGGTTGAGAACCACTCTCTAGGACCTAGAGAGTGGTCACCCTGCAATAAATGAACAGGCGCACACTGGTTGATCTAAACCAGGGGTTGATACACACATTTTGGCCTGCCACTTGTTTCTGTAAAGAAAATGTGTCAGGACATGGCCACCCTACTCGTTTACCTATCTTCTGTGGCTGCTTTCAACTGCAGTGGCCAATTGAGTGGTTGTGACGGAGACCACATCTGTCATCTGAAGCATTACATATTTACTGTCTAGCTCTTGACAGAAAAAGGTTGCAGATACTGTTCTAAACCGAGAGGACATAGGAAGGGATTGGTTCCTTGGGAAAGCTGTTAAAAGAATAAAATGCCGCCATTTAAAGGACAATGAAGGACATTCCTTTTTCTCTCCAGCTAACGTTCTCTATGGGCCACTCCACACCAAACAGGCAGTGAACATGTTTCTTGGAGCAGTGGAGGCAGCCAAGAAAGAAGGAGGCACCGTGGTCTACGGTGGCAAGGTGAGGACAGCCCGGAGCTGGGCAGTGAGATTTCCACCTCTCCCTGGGTGACAGGTCCCCGACTGCCCTCTTCCTTCTCTCCTCCTTTTTGTAAGGGGGATACATGCTTTAAACCATGACATCGTAAACCGCATGGGAATTTCTGGAAGGACACACAAGAATCTCAGGGCTGTGGTTGCCTTTGAATTGAGTCTGCAGGCCAACGCTCTATCCACTGAGCCAAACCGGTTAGGGCAAGTTATGTGATTTTTAAAATCATCAGTTGTAACTTTTTTTCAATGCTACTTGGCTGTGACACATGGCACAGCTCTCTATCCTAGATTTCTCTTTTTTCCTTTTTATCGTTGACCAAGTTAGAGCCAATAGGAGGCAGAGAAAATTTTCATTCATGATGAGAAGTTACTGTGCAGAAACAATTCACCTAAAATGGTGTTGGCTTTTTTCTCATTAAGTATCAGCAAAGATACCTGACCACAAGTACTAGAAAACAAAATGCTTTCATTGTTTTTATTTCCTTTCTCTGCTGAAGGTTATGGATCGCCCTGGAAATTATGTGGAACCGACAATTGTGACAGGTCTTGCCCACAATGCATCCATTGCACACACAGAGACTTTTGCGCCGATTCTTTATGTCTTTAAATTCAAGGTAAAAAAAATGGGTTCTGGCTCTCTCCTCTTTAGTCTAATGTTGAAACAAACATTAGAAGGCCAGGAGAAAATGAAGCTGTATTAAATTTCACTCGATTTGCTGTTAGGGAGGTTTTAGAAAGTCCTTCGGATTGGTATAAATTTGGAAGTTATGGGTAAAATATGATGGGTGAACACTTAAACTATAGAGCATGTCAAGCAAGCTGCCAGGGAAACCAAGACTGTTGCAATTTATGGAGATTGGCCCTCATCTCCTGTATCACCTGATTGTGAGCCGAGTGGGCCAAAAATCTGGCTTCTGTGCAGAAGGACTAGAGAGTGGGATAGAGTAGAGCCACATACCAGCTGACGAAATGAGAAGAGTGAGGGGAACGTTAAGATCTTCAGTTGCGGTCTGTATCTGAGGACAGGCTATGGCGGTTATAGCAGATGAAGAGAACTACAGGGTCTCCTTCCCCAGCGTGAAACAGGCCCCAGCCCTGCCAGATCCTATTTAGAGATTGAATCAAGGTCTGAATGTGCCATGATTGACTGTGGAGGAGTAAGGAGAATCACACCTTATTGCAATCACATGATTGAATTTCCTAACATCTTCCTTAAAATTGTCTTATGTTTCACATATGGTGATTAGAGGGTAAAATTTCATGTTTTGTAGTGTGTGCTTGTGTGACTATGAGCTCTCGAGCAAATAATTTAACCTCTTGGGGCTCCTTTGCCTCATCTGTAAATTGGGGATAATAGAAAACCTGTGTCAGAGGGTGAGGAATAACTAACTAAATGCATGCTAAGTGGTGGTCAGTGTGTTGCACTTAGTAAGAATTCAATAACTATTAGATATTACATATAATAGCTTGAATGGAAGAATGTACTGGGAGCCTGGAGGAAAGATTTTTGTTCCCTAAAGTACAGTTGGGGAGAAAACCCTACAAAGGCACTGTAAGAGAAATAGACGTGTGACTCTGTGGTTTCCTTTTTTGCACTAACATTATCCTGGTGCACCTCATGAAATGAGTCTCACAGTAACTTTGACCCAAACCCCGTGTCATCTAAAAGCTTTGAACACCTGTCCTTTCAGAACGAAGATGAAGTCTTTGCCTGGAATAATGAAGTAAAACAGGGACTTTCAAGTAGCATCTTTACCAAGGATTTGGGCAGAATCTTCCGCTGGCTTGGGTATAACCTTGTTTATTTTTAAAACCTCTGTAAGTCTGATTTGTGTGGTGATGGACTTTAAAAAAAAACACATGAAACCATCATAGTTGAAAATCCATTCTTTGGCACTGAAAGTCTTAGAATTTGTTTGGATTGTTTTTTATTTTTTACTTTCCTATATGTTGCTCTCATCATGCCTCCCTTTATACACACAGACCGAAAGGATCAGACTGTGGCATCGTGAACGTCAATATTCCGACGAGCGGGGCTGAGATTGGAGGCGCCTTTGGTACGTGCAGCACGTGTCTGCTTTTCCGTGTTGGGCAGTGTCTTGGCCTGCTAGGGCTGCCATAGCAAAATACCACAGACCAGGTGGCTTCAACAGCAGAAATGAATTTGCTCACCGTCCTGGAGGCTGGAGTCCAAGATCAAGGTGTTGGCAGGTTTGGTTTCTCCTGAGGCCTCTCTCCCTGGCTTGAGGCCACCTTCCTCCTGTGTCCTCACATGGCCTTTTTTCTGTACACACACCTCTGGTGTCTCTTCCTCTTATACGGACACCAGTCCTATTGACTTCGGGCCCTAACTTTATGACTTCATTTAACCTTAATTACCTACTTAAGTCTTTTATTCATTTGTTTACTGAGCTCAGCTACAATCTGAGTGCTTGGAGGCTGGGGCTTCAACATGTTCATGGGGGAGGGGATACAATTCAGTTCATAGCAGGCAATAAAAGAAAAGAGTAGTAGCTTTTAGAAAAGTTTGACCAAGAAACTGAAATACTCATCTTACCTGTCTAACATGCCTGAGAAAGCTCACATTCCATATTCCAAGTGACTGTCCAGGGCCCTGCCTTCTATTCTCAGCCGTGGCGTCACACTAAGGCAGGGCCCTCAGCCTGAGGTGTGTGGACCCTTGACGTGGCATCTGTTTTCCGGGGAGATAGTTAAGACCCCCCCAAAATTAAGACCCCTGCTTTAAAGACAAAATTTCAGACAAAAAATTCTGGTTTGTATTGGCAAAATGGACATAGTAAATGTTAAATGTTATCTTTCATCTTAGATGAAATACTAAGTTGTTTCTTTTCACGGAGTCTTGTTTCCAATTTCTTATTTATTTATTTTTTTCCACCTCCAGGCCATCACCACCACCACCACCCCTCACCTATTTTCTCTTTATATGCTTTGAGTTCTCAGTGCTTAAACTTAATCATAGTAATAATTTAAAAAATCTTTCCAACAGTCATTTATTGTTTTACTTATTTAAAAATGTTCCAAAGTATAGTAAAAACAGATTGCCTTTAATTATATAGAGAAGCAAAACAAGCATTCATTAATCCTTGTGAAAGTTTAAATAATTTGGGGCATTCTTTCCTATATTTTAGACAAAACTATAATTACTTTTCAGTGGGAAGACTTTGACAAAAGTTTCCTGCTTTCATTTCATCCCGTCACCCTTGCCCTCCACTATTTAGTGGCCTGAATGCATCTGTCTGTCCTTCTGTAATCCTTTAATCCCTGCATCCAGCCCATGCCTCCTCTCTCCAATGGACTCTTCTTCATTTCAGCCCTCACATTAATGTTAAAAAAATTTAAAGTTTTAGAATGGAAAAAGAAGTTCTGCCCACACTTCTTCTCCCTCCTTCTTTCCCAGAGGCAACCATTTTGAGATCCTCACTAAAAGAAAACAATAAATTGACTCTGAATGTACAATTTTTCTAAGTAGTGTGCTTTCACAGCACTCTGTCGCAGCTTTAGACCCTCTGCTTTGCTCAATTAACCTTCTTAATTCTTCTCTTCCCCATAAGCGATGTGACACTGTTGTGTGGGGTGCGGTCCAGAGGAAAGGTGGTACTAGAGTATTCTCCAGTGGAGTCACGAGAGATGAGCTTACTTGTAACTCCCAGCAGGGGATTGTGACAACACAGGTAGTCTGCCAGGAAAGCTCATGACAGACTCCGCACCCAAGCCTTCTGCTGGGGCCTGGTCACGGAGGCGCCTTCTGCTTGGCACATCCCCCAAATTCCAGGCTCTCAGAGGAAGGCAGGTGTTGCACATAAACCACATTGTTTGTACAGAAACAGTACAGGCCCAATGAGGCACCTCAGTCATTCAGGGAACTTTTATTATCCGTGTAGGGGACTGTGCAGCAGCTATGGGCCCAGGTGCAAGCAGACCTGCTATGCTTTTTCTGCGTAGTTCAGTTTTGAATTAATTTTTCCTCAGAGTTTTGGAGCTGTTTGTCTTCTGGTTGCTAGTATTGTGTTTGGAAAGCCCAGTCCACTTTGATTTCTGATCTTTCTCCCGTTTTTAAAAATATGTCTGAAGTTTCATAGTAATATGCCTCAGTGGAGATCGTTGTACAAGTATCTGTGGGCCAGTTAGTGGGCCAGTGTGTCCTTGGATGGTGGGACTTACAGTTTTCCGTTCTGATTTTGCATTGGCAGTGTTTCTTTGAAAATTTTTCCTTTGATTTTTCTCTATTTTAATTTCTGGAACTCCTATTATTTAAATGTTACCTCTTGATAAAATTGATTGATTTTATCGTTTCCCTCCTTTAGTCTTTTTGTTTTTTATATGGGAAATTTCCTCAAATTTTTCTCCTAATCCTTCTATTAAGTTTTTTCTCATCTGCTGTTATTAAAGACAACACCAAGACATTTCTTGTGCTTTGATGACACACTTTTAAGTAGTATCCTTTTCTTATTTCCATGGATTCATTATCTTCTTATAATCTGAGGATATTAATTTAACATTTAAAATATTTTATTATAAAAGCAGTTTATGTATATTATAAAAAAATTACACATAGATCACCATAAATGAGAAATAAAAACATTTCCACTGTCAGAAGTTCTATTCATAACACCTTGGTCTACTGGTAAAGTTTTTTAAAAAGGTTTCCTTCTTCCTGATACATTTCTGTTTCCTCTTAATTTTATTTTTTCCCCTCCGATTTTCATGTTTATTTTGGTCTCTGTCTTTTATCCATTTGTGTGCAAAGGAAATTGGGCTAAATGTCCAGGAACTGGTCAGGTAGCTCTGGTCTCCTTTTGGTGTCTTCCCTCAGTGGGTAGGAGCCCACACAGAAAGAAACAGCCCAGGAGATGAGATTGAGCTGCCTTTGTGTTCCTCCAGGGGGAGAAAAGCACACCGGCGGTGGCAGGGAGTCCGGCAGTGACGCCTGGAAACAGTACATGAGAAGATCTACTTGGTAAGAAAGGCTTTGGGAAGACGGGTTTGGGCTTAAAGCTATTGCAACGTGCATTTACGCTCTTCTCCTTTCTGCTCTGGCTTTATGCATTTCCATTTAATTTTATTTTTCTAATGTTCCACGCTCTCCCCTCCATTTTGTACTATTATTTTTCTACTTTCTTGTCCAGCTTTAGCTAGTGCCCAACAGCCAACTATGAAACCATCTCGTTGGTAGTTTCTACCCAGAGACAGCATAGGAACAGGACACTGGGGGAGGTGTCCACCAGCAGGAGAAAGTGGAAGAAGCTGTCCTTTTCTAGTTTTCTCTTTGGGCGCAGTTACCACCCTTGCTACCTATAGAATCAAAAGGAGAGAAGGTGTGCAGGGGCTTAGGGGCCTGGCTAGCAAGCGGGGGGATCCCAGTTCTCTGAATAGCAAGCATGACCCTTGGAAGTTGGACTAGCTCATCCCCCAACACATGGGTAGCTGGTGAGGGAGCTGGCTTCTGGGAGATTTTGACTAGGAGTTGTTTCTTTTAAATGTACACTGTTCTTGCCTCCCCCGCGCCCCCCGCCCCCATGGTTAGAAATAGCTTTACCCAAGTGCAATACAACAGTATGTAGGGCCAGGCCTCTGTGGTGTTCTGTTGCAGAAAGAACATGGGGTGGGGAACCCATCCTCATCCCATTGACTGCTTCCCACTAGTTCTGTAACCTGAGGTGGGTTTCTCAGCCTCGGCTCCTCATGGCCTTAGTGCTTTGTGTCTGTCGGGAATTTCTGAAGTGCTTTTGGCTACGGCTTGCCAAGTCTTTGCCTGATTCCCGTTCTTTGAAGTCACTTACATTCTTTTTCCTTTTCTTGTGCATTTGAGATCTAAAGCAGAAAACACTGTACTGTGGCCTTTTGGGAGCCCATTTAATGAGACTCCTTTCCTCTTAGGAGAAATGAGATAATTACCAGATAACTGACTAACAGGGACGCTTTTATTTTCTAAATTATTATAGTTCTTACTTTTTATCACAATGGGAATGAATATCTGTGTTTTTCCTGTTAATTCAATACATTATTGAATTCAGTACACGTTATTGAGAGAGAGGAAAAAGATTGTTATAGTCCCCATATTCTTGTGCTCTGAAAACTATGAATAACATGTATGCTGTGTTTTTCCAGACTTTTGTGTTCCTCCTTTTTTTTTTTCTTTTATAAAACTGGATTCATACTGGATTGTTGTGATATTTCCTTCACCATCCTGCAATTTGGACATTTCACGTTGTTAACATATAGATCTGCTACATTTTTTAAAGGCATAAAAATATTCGATATTATGTACATGCTCTCCTTCATTTAATTTTGTTCATTTTTTCCCCCTCCTTAGTACCATCAACTACAGTAAGGACCTTCCGCTGGCCCAAGGAATCAAGTTTCAGTAAAGGTGCTTCAAGTTGACATTACTTCAAGTCTTCTAAGTTTTCTTGCAGGTCTGTCTTCTGAAGAAGACAAAGAAATTAAGATTTTCCCTGAATAAATGCATCTTTTTGAGTATGACAGTGGCTAATCCTTTATGCCTCCGAGGTCCTGACTAAATCAAGAGACTCATTTAAAAAAAAAATTGTCATGGCATAGCCATATTTAGTATTAGACAGGAAAATGGATTTTTATGTTACTAGTAGTTACTAATTTTTTAAAGTTTATGATTATAATTTAGAAAAAAAAGTACATGCCAGTGTAGGAATTTGGAAAAACAGAACGTATAAAATATAAATCTTCTCGGTAGCTGCAGGAACATCTGAGCAGGTAAAGAATATTCTGATGGGTCTTGATTCCCATCGCCCTCTTCTGGCCTGCGATGGAAAGAGGGCGTGTCTTTATGTATGGGGACCATAGCACAGCGTCTGTGGAATGACTGAGGTGTTCATCATCATTGCGACTTCTCTTCTCGCGGTGGCTTGTGTCACCACAGGAGAGGTTTGTGGGGAGGACAAACCTATCACTAGCTATCACTCCTGCCTTGGAGCGGGCACCTGCCGTGAGAGCGTATGTGGATTTCTTCTGCAGCCTCAGGCCATCCTCATTAGCTGGTAGGCTTCTACGGGTGCCCTTCTGTGGTTGCTCTCGGGGAATGACCGCGTGTGTGGCAGCATGCGTCGAGTGAACTCAGCAATGTGCACTTGCTCTTTGCCGAGAATCGCTTCCTTCTCGGGGGAAGCCGCCCAGGAGCCCTCGGGGTTCAGTCCAAGCCCCCGTGGAGCTCGAATGGCTCCTGCAGTTCTGTCTTCCCGTGGTCTGTGCTCCATAGCACTCCTGCCAGATTGGACTGGGCAGATGCCTTTGAGGACGACATTTGTAGATGACCTGATGCATTTTCACAGCTGGCACAGAGTTTGGGGTTATGACAGAGAAGCAAGCAAATGGAAAAAAATAAGCAGTTGTAAATTTATCCGGAAAGGAAAGTTACTGTGTGACCACTGCTCACTGAGGTATGTTGCTGTCAGCCTTGAATATGAATCAAGCCAAATGCTGATGATAGGCCATTTGAGAACATGTTGGTGGGAAGAAGTTAGGGGTGAGGAGGTTAGAGAGGCAAACAGTTCTTCATGTTCAGTAGTGGAAAATCAGTAATACCTAAAATTAGAAAGGAAAGAGATAGCAACTTGGGCTTATAAAAATAGGTAAATTCCAAAAGAATCATTGCTTCAGGGAAGGCATGTGGAGGGTGGGGGGTGGCAACAGGATAGAGTGCTATTTTTCATAGCTAGTCCTGTAGAGATATTTCACTCTTCAAATCAGGACAACGTATAATTGAATAAAAATTAAAATCACACGCCGAGACCGGTTTGGCTCGGTGGATGGAGCGTCGGCCTGCGGACTGAAGGGTCCCAGGTTCGATTCCGGTGGAGGGCATGTGCCTTGGTTGCGGGCACATCCCCAGTGGGAGATGTGCGGGAGGCAGCTGATCGATGTATCTCTCTCATCGATGTTTCTGACTCTCTGTCTCTCTCCCTTCCTCTCTGTGAAAAGATCAATAAAATATATTTAAAAAAAAATTAAAATCACACAGAAAAGCAAATGAATCAGGTACTTGGAATCCTGCGTTTCCAGACCCCCCCTCCCCCACCCCGCTCACACCTGCACACTTGTCTACCCCCATTATTGAACAAGGGGTTCTTTTTTAATATCTCATAAGGTGATCCTCCCAAAAGCCGAATTTCCTTCCATTTTTAAAGTTTAAAATAGACTAGATTATTCTGTATTGATACATTTATACTTTTTAATACAAGTGGTTGCTTAAGAAAATTGTGCAATGTGGGCATTTACTTTAAAGATCTTTGCTGTGGTTTCTTGTGTCAGTGTTAAGTATCCTAGCTCTGTCGTATTTACTAACTAAGGCTGTCTGAAGAAAGTAAAGCACTATTAAAACATTTTTAGAAACCATATAATACTAGATGATTTTTGTTTTGTGAAATTGAGATTTAATGAAAATATTTTCTATATTCTTTTCCTCCCCCCCCAGCATAATATTTCTAAACAACCATCCCAAACCTAAAGTAGTATCAGTGTTTGTTTTAATTAAAAATGTTTACATTATAGTTTCTCTTTAATTAGGTATTTAAGGAGGCTTTTCATCCTCCTGTGTATCTACGAAGCCATGAAGTTGTGTCCAATGTGGAATAATGAATATCCAATGCTTGGTTGTGGGGGGTGGAGCGGGGGGGCTGGCAGCTCTAATCTGAGGTGTAGAAGTCAAGTTAAACTGATTCTGAAAACTTCTTGGAAACTAATCTATAATTTTTCTACATATTTCTACCAACAACAAGGACATTTGTCATAATGTTTATTTAAAAACTTTACTTTTAAATTGGTTCTCTTTGTTCCTTGCCCTAACGAATGAAAATTGCTCTTTAGTATCTTCAGCCACAAGAGTTAAACTGTGCTTTTGTATGTGTTATTCCTGGCCATGTGTCTTGAGCGCTTGCTTTGCTAGGAATCCTGCCCTGCTGATTACTAGTCACTTAGAGCCCTGGCTGGCTCTCCTGCCCCTCCCGGGCCGCATCTGGTGCTGTGGCCCTACTGCCAGTTCCCTGTCCACACTGGACAGGAGGAGCTTGTGATCAGCATACCAGCTCCTGCTTCAGGTTTGCTGTCTGTCTCCAGTCCCTGGAGAGAGCATCCAGTCGGCTGATCCTAGGAACCTGACTCTGGTTCTATAGGAAGCGGGTAGAAGACTTGGTCATTTGGCTTCCCTTTGGGGAGGGAAGCACTCCTGATGAAGAAAGACTTCACACAATGGTGATGAGGCAGTTCTCAAAGCAAAGAGGGGTGTCTGCCACCGCAGGACATTCTCAGTGGCATGCTCTGTCCCTGGGAATACTGAAGGGACCGAGAGGGGTCAGTGTCCTTGCTCTTTGGTTCTAACCTGGCCGCTTTCAAACGTTTTCCTGTTGGCTTCATTCAAACAAAGTTGCCACCAGGAAGCTGGTTTCTATTTCAGTATTGCCAGACGAGGACATGCATGTACATGTCCCTTCCTGTGGCCCCTGATACCTCATTGTCTTACACCTGGCTTGGTCCCTTGTTTATCTTGTTCCCCTGACTTATTTTACCTGCCTGGTTGCTGTAGACATTTGTACTGATACCATTTCTGCCTTTTCTACCCTCTCCATACTCAGCACGGCTTCCTCATCACCATTTCTTAGTCTTAAAGGTTTCCGAGAGGATGTGTGAAGAGGGAAGGTGACAGGCCATTGTTTTCAGTCCCAGAAACTTGATACATTTTGATGTATCCAATTTTGGGACTTTTCATTTAATGAAATCTGTTGATTGTTTTTCCAACTTAAGTTAAAAAGTTAGGTTTCAAATATTTCTCTCTGCTTACTTTTTACAGTGTATTTTTAAAGAAGCAGTATTTGCGTGTATGCAGCTAAACATTCAAATGGGGCGAGAATGCTTCTAACAAACACTGGCAGCTCCTGTTCCCTCCTGTGTCCGCCCACAGTTCCCACTTAAAGCCACCCTCACCTTCTCTGCTGTTGTTGACCTCATATTTCTAATTTTTTAAAAATATATTTTATTGATTTTTTACAGAGAGCAAGGGAGAGGGATAGAGAGTTAGAAACATCGATGAGAGAGAAACATCGATCAGCTGCCTCCTGCACACTCCCCACTGGGGATGTGCCCGTAACCAAGGTACATGCCCTTGACCGGAATCGAACCTGGGACCTTTCAGTCCGCAGGCCGACGCTCTATCCACTGAGCCAAACCGGTTTCGGCAGTTGACCTCATATTTCTAAATAATAAGCTCATACTGCTATTTTTCAGTTTGTCAATGTAGATATTGTCTGTTGACTTGTGGCTTATTACCACATCCCCAAACATAAACCTTCTCTTACCTCAAATTTGTGAATATCACAGCTTTTGGTTAAATCTATAGTCATTTAATTATTGTGAATATGCAAAGACAAACCAAGCCCAGTCATGCCTTAAAATCACACCTACTTTCTTGTCTAATCTTTTATTTTCCCCGGAGTTAATAATTGCCCTTATTGCTTACTTTGTATCTTTTTAACATCGTAAAATACAGCATAAGATTCACCGTTTTAAAGTGCGTAGTTTTGTGGCATTTAGTACATTCTCAAGTTGTACAACCATCACCACTTCCTAGTTGTAGGATATTTTTATCACCCCAAAAGGAAACCCCATACCCAGTAAGCAGCCATTCCCCATTCTCCTTTACCCCTTGGTACCTAGCCACCACTAGTCTGCTTTCTGTCTGGATTTACCTATTCTGGATATCTAAAATAATAATTAGACTGGATGTCCTTCCAGACAACCTTCGGACGAAGCCTGGGCTGCAAGGGAAGCCCGGGTCGCAGGTGCTGGTGGCTGGAGGGAAGCTGGTGCCAGCAGCCGGGGGAAGGTACGCCTACTCTTGCACAGATTTTGTGCATCGGGCCTTTAGTTTCATATAAATAGAATCTCTATTACTAATTATTTCCAAATGCCTGAATTATCTCTGTAGCATGCCGATTAGTATTTTCCAATTGCTCATAATCAGTTTCAATTTTTATTTTACTTTTCCTGGAATCAAGTGCCCTTTGTCTTGTTTACTTCCATTGGACTGGCTGCTCACCAGGGCTACTACATCAAGTACCATCATGGACTTCTTTTGCTGCCTTTCCATGTTAGAGTCCTGTGATTCCTGGGTCCTGTGTTTTCTTCCTCATTTCTTTTTTTTTTTAATTAAATCTTTATTGTTCAGATTATTACATTTGTTCCTCTTTTTTCCCCCCATAACTCCCCTCCTCCCAGTTCCCGCCCCACCCTCCGCCTTCACTCCCCACCCACTGTCCTCATCCATAGGTGCACGATTTTTGGCCAGTCTCTTTCCGCATCTCCCACACCCCTTTCCCCCCAAGAATAGTCAGTCCATTCCCTTTCTATGTCCCTGATTCTATTATGATCACCAGATTATTTATTCACTTGATTCTTAGATTCACTTGTTGATAGATGCATGTTTGTTGTTCATAATTTGTATCTTTACCTTTTTCTTCTTCTTCCTCTTCTTAAAGGATACCTTTCAGCATTTCATATAATATTGGTTTGGTGGTGATGAACTCCTTTAGCTTTTCCTTATCTGTGAAGCTCTTTATCTGACCTTCACTTCTGAATGATAGCTTTGCTGGATAAAGTAATCTTGGTTGTAGGTTCTTGGTATTCATCACTTTGAATATTTCTTGCCATTCCCTTCTGGCCTGCAAAGTTTCTGTTGAGAAATCAGCTGACAGTCGTATGGGTATTCCCTTGTAGGTAACCGAGTTTCTTTCTCTTGCTGCTTTTAAGATTCTCTCTTTGTCTTTTGCTCTTGGCATTTTAATTATGATGTGTCTTGGTGTGGTCCTCTTTGGATTCCTTTTGTTTGGGGTTCTCTGCGCTTCCTGGACTTGTAAGTGTATTTCTTTCACCAGGTGGGGGAAGTTTTCTGTCATTATTTCTTCAAATATGTTTTCAATATCTTGCTCTCTGTCATCTTCTGGCACCCCTATAATTCTGATGTTGGTACGCTTGAAGCTGTCCCAGAGGCTCCTTACACTATCTTCGTATTTTCGGATTCTTTTTTCATTTTGCTTTTCTAGTTGGGTGTTTTTTTCTTCTTCGCATCTCGAATCTTTGACTTGATTCTTGTGCTCCTCTGGTCTGCTGTTGGGTGTCTGTATAATATTCTTTATTTCAGTCAGTGTATGCTTAATTTCTAGTTGGTTTTTTATCACAACATCAAGGGTCTCATTAGATTTCTTGAGGATCTCACTACATTTATGGGCGGTCTCACCAGTCTTTTCGAAGGCCTTACTAAGTTTATCGGCAGCTTCTAGACAGTTCTTGAGAGACCTTAAAAGTGTGGTTTTGAGCTCTATATCTTCCATTTCTGACATTTCCGTCCTGTTTCTTTGTCTCCGCATTTTTTTTATCTTTTCTTGGTGCACCCCCTAGTGGTATTTGTGCGAAGTCTTGTTGTAGTTAAGCCTTGATTGATGTCGGGAATACCTGGGGTGATTTGACCTCCAGGCTAACTGGCTATGAGAGTCAGCTGTGTCTGCAGTGGGAGAGCTTCTGTGCTGGATCTCTAGGGTGGTGCTAATCTAGCGTTTGCCTGAGGCTATCTGGCAAATGGCTTGGGCGGGGCGGGTCGCACGGGATCAAACAGGGCGGGCAGAGAGCAGTTATGGCTACTCTCAGTTCCGTCCCTAGGTGCTTTGCCTCACTGAGTCCCAGCAATCGCTGCAAACCTTGGAGAGAAAGCTGCCTTTGTGTTCCGACCGAAGCCAGA